AAGGACGTGGGTTGTTGTGGAAGTACAAGTCGTCATTGTTCACTGCCATCATGGTTTTGATGTGGGGAGAGTGCAGTATATGGTGAAGCTGTAGGGTTGGGACTCCGGGTTGGGTAATGTTGTGAGGTAAAGTTTGTAAATGAAAGAGCTGCGTGGGAAAGTGCAGAAGCTCACAGACTCGACAAGGAAGAGACTTGTGCAAGGAAGAAAGGAATACTGAGTACAAGATGTAATGTTGCAACTTTATAAGGCTTTAGTTAGGCTACTCTTAGAGTATCGTGTTCAGTTCTGGTCACCACATTACAGGAAGGATATGGAGGTTTTGGAGAGGGTGCAGAACAAGTTTACTAGGATGCTGCTTGGATTACAGGGTATGAGCTATAAGGAGACATTAGGAAAACTCGGGTTGTTTTCTCTGGAGCAGTGGAGGCCGAGGAAGACTTCATAGAAGTCTACAAAATTATGAGATGCATAGCTGGAATTGACAATCAGAACCTTTTTCCCAGAGTGGAAATGTCTAATACTAAGGAGTATGCATTTAATGTGAGAGGGGGGCAAGTTCAAATGAGATATAGATCAATTGGAATGTTGTGCAGAGAAATGGCATTTGAAGTTTAGTTTGAGGTGATGCAGTTTGGGAGGTTCAAGTCCAAAGCTCCCTGAAATAGCAACACAAGTAGATAAGATGGTGAAGAATTTCACTTTCATGGTACACAGCATCGGGATCTGGTCAACTTTGATATCTGGTTCATAAGTGAGATGAGGTATTTTTTCAAACATGTCAGAGCACGCATTGTTCCTACGAGAACAACTATGGTTCCATTCATGCATTCTTTTTTTGTTTCAAACATGAAATGGCCACAACTTGATCAAAAGTGAAAGTGACCATCAACCAGTTTGAAATGTCAGTTATCAAATAAATTAAGACAGAGATAAATGTATTTGCAGGAGTTTTTTAAATTAATTTTTAATAAATTCATTCAGGGGATGATGACATCACTGGATAAGAATGGCAGTTTCCTTCCCTAAAGAACATAGGTGAACAGATGGGTTTTTCCAACAATGACAATGGATTCACAGTCATCATTAGATTCTTATTTCCAGATTTTTTTTTTAACTCAAATTCCACCATCTGGAATGGTGGGATTCAAACCTAGGTCCCCAGAATGTTACCTCGGTTTCTGGGGAGTGATGGACAGCAGACTAAACAGAAAATATACACTAGAAATCATACAATGTCTTGGTTTATGTATTCATCATGAGATCCGTCACTGCTATGGACACCAGGTAAAGATCTGAAGAGACTGCATTTCCCCCTGGACAGAGTCACAATGGTCACCAGGTTTCATAGCAGATTGGGAAAATGCAATCAGGGATATAGTACATGACTCATCCCAATCTTTTGTTTGGATTTAAGACTTTCCTTTGATTGTTATCCACAAAATGAAACTACATTGTTTCTAATACACAAATATCTATTAAAAGTTGAAACATGTCTGTGGAGAGCAATAGAATCCGTAATTGTAAAGGTGTGCAGACATATTGACCAGGCATAACTAACAAATAAAGGGCCATCGAGATCATCATAGAATCCCGACAGTGTGGAAGATGGCCATTCAGTCCATTGAGTCCACACCAACCCTCCAAAGAGCATCCCACCCAGTCTCACACCCTACCCTATCCCTGCATTTTGCACACAAGACACTATGGGCAATTTAGCATAGTCAATCTACCTAATTTGCAAATTTTTGGACTGTGGGAGGAAACCAGAGCACCTAGAGGAAACCCACTTAGACACAGGGAGAATGTCCAAAATCCCCACAGTCGCCCAAGGCTAGAATCAAACCCAGGTCCCTGGTGCTGTGACGCAGCAGTGCTGACCACTGTGCCACCATGCAGCCTCAAGAGACCTGTGTATAATTTTCTCAATTATAGAGCTTTTCACACTCAATGTGAGCAATTCAGCATGCTCAACAAAGGATTCACCTCCATTTCAGATTCTTACAGTCAGCCTTGTTTTAGTCTATCCTACTGAACCAAAAACATCCTCCCTGAAATGAGAAGCAGATTCATCATTTCGAGTTCAGCTGACTCTGAGTGACTTTGAACTCGAAACATTAATTCTGTGTTTGTCTCCACAGATGCCAGACCTGAGGAGTTTCCACACCATTTCCTGTTTTACTTTGATCTGCAGCATCCTCAGTATTTTACTTTTCTTTCTGATTTTGAATCTAGTTTGCACTCTTGTACAATTGCTCCCAGCATCTTTACCATCCCCAGGACAGGGATCAGCACCTTTACTCTCCCAGGGGCGGGATCAACATCTTTATTGCCCCCAAGGCAGGGATCAGCATCTTTACTGACCCCAGCACAGGGATCAGCACATTTTTCTGTGCACAGGTCAGATACTAGCATCTTTCATACCCCCAAGAGAGGAAAATCAAATTTATTTTGCAGGCAAAATTTGTGGATTAGAGTCCAGATGTAAAGATTAAAAGTACACAAATTGAGTACCTGACAGTGAGCTTTTTTTCGTTGAATGGGGCGACAGTCACTGATGTCTCATTCTTTCACAGCTCCATGTATTCCTAATTGGGACAGTCTACGCAGACGGATCCACAGTGAACCAAAATTCAAGATTCTGCAGATGTTGGAAATCCAGTCTCAAAACAGAAAATGTTGGAAACACTCAGCAAGACAAACAGTTTTGGAAGAGAAATTTAGTAAAAATGCGTGTTGCTAACCTTTTACCCGAACTGGACAATATTAGTTTTGAATAGTTTATAAACTAGGACTGTGTCACGGAAAAGGAGAGTGGAGTGCAGGCTTGATGGTGAATGGCCAATTCCTACCGCTAAATTTGATATGGAAGTGCCGATCCTGGACTGGGGTGGACAAAGTCAGAAGTCACATGACACCAGATTATAGTCCAACAGGTTTATTTGAAATCTCAAACTTTCAGAGAGCTGCTCCTTCTGCAGGTGGTGTCACCTGATGAAGGAACAGCAGTCTGAAAGCTTCTGACGTCAAATAAATCTGTTGGACTATAATCTGGTATAGTTTGACTTCTGACTTTGCTCCCACCTAGCATGTTTGTGTGAAAGAATAATGTTTTTGCAAGCAGTTCGGAGGCTGGAGTGACGAAATGACAAAGTCCATCACAATAATGGTACAAGGCAACGTTGTCTATAATGAGAAGTTAATAAATAAATGGGCTAGGAACAGAAACAAAAGTCAGGCCCAGAGACAGCAAAATGTGAACAGCATTGGCAGTACCTGCTCTCGGACAGAATGGGTGACACAGTTATTGCCCCTGACATTTTAATCATGAATGTTGAGTGTGGAAATGTCACATGAGGGACCAGGTGTCCTTGGACACATATGACAGAACGTAACAGAAGATGCAGCAACAAATGGCGAATGGTAGGTAAGCTTTTATTACAAAGGGCTTTGAAGAACGAGAGTGAACTCCCCTGGAGTATTGTGAGCAGGTTCCTGTGGTGAGATCTGCCCTGGAGGACCGTGAGCAGTTTTCAGGATAGAGGTCTGCCCTACAGGACTGTGAGCAGTTTCTGATGACTGAACTAACATGAATGATCTAGAGCGAGTGCAACAAAAGTTCTCCAGACTGGTTCCTAGGAAGAGGGGATTTCTGAGCAGAAGAAATTGAGTAAACAGGGCTTATATTCTGTGGGATAAAATCAAAGTCACCATAGTGCTACTGGACAACCAGGCTGTTTCTCATTCGAGACAGACAAACAGTGGTGGCTAACCTGAGAGTCAGGCAAGGGAAGAAGTCAAGAAGGACAGTCCTTCATGGTCACCTCAGCTGGTGAAGGAATTGAACCCACACTGTTGGCACCACTCCACATCATAAATCAGCCGTCCAGCCAACTGAACTAACTGACAACCAACCTGTAGGATATAGAGAAATAGAAGTGATCTAATTGAATTATCTTGTTTTTTGAAGATGCTTGATAGGAACAATGCTGAGTAAATGTTTCCTCTAGCTGGGAAATCTAGGACATGGGGTAATTGTCTCAGAATAAGGGTGTGACCATTTCAGATTGAGGTGAAGAGCAATTTTTTCACTCGCACCACTGTAAAACTGTGGAATTCTCTATTCCAGGGAGCTGTAGTTTCTTGGTCATCTCGTGTTTCCAAATCAGGCACTGTTAGATTTTTGTACATCAGAAATGAGGGAAATGGGGATAATTTGAGAAGGTAGATGACAGGAGGAACAAGGTCAAAGGGCTGAATGGATGTTTACTGTTTCCATTTCTGCATTTGATTCTAGCCTCAGGCTGCAGTCTGTGTGCAGTTCACACAGTCTCTGTCTGTGCAGGTTTCCTCCAGGTGCTCTGGATTCCTGCCACAGTCTAAAGACGTGCAGGTTAGCGTGGGGATTGGCTGTGCTAAATTGCCCATAGTGCCCGGGTATGTGCAGACTATGTGGATTAGCCATGTTAAATGTAGCGTTACTGAGATTGGGTATGCGCCTGGGTAGGACACTCTTCGTGATGGGCCAAATGGTCTGCTTCCACACTGGAGGGATTCTATGATCTCCAGAAACAAGCCCAAAAAACATGGTTTGGATATAGCTAACAGCAGAATTAAAAATCAATTAACAGTTACTCAGAAATTTGCTGGTAGTTAACCAGTCCTGATGAACCAGGAAATCCCTTTTCACATACTGTGCAGGTGGATAGTCTTTAGTCAGCGTGAATGTGTTGATGTATGGTGACAACATGACTATTTCCAAGCTCCACCTTACAGATACACAACTGTTATTAATATTTTATCCACAACACCAGCACCTTCAATTGAGCAGGGATTAGTAACATTAATACAAACAGCCCAAAATCATGGTTCATTTGATACTGAGTGACAGCAAAATCTTTCAACTGTGGTTTTTTGTGAGCTCACTGGTGTGTTAACAGTTTGGATGACTGAGTGAATGCTTTCCCACATTCAGAGCTCGTGAATGGTCTCTCCCCAACGTGAACCTGCTGGTGTTCCAGCAGGTAGGATGACCGAGTGAATGCTTTCCCACATTTAGAGCAGGTGAATGGTTTCTCCCCAGTGTGAATGCTCTGGTGTCTCGGTGGGTTAGATGAGCAAGTGAATCCCTTCCCACACTGGAAGCAGATGAATGGTCTCTCCCCCGAGTTAACTCGCTGATGTATCAGTGGGGAGTTCAAGTCAGCAAAGCCTTTTCCACACACAGAACAGGTCAATGGTCTCTCTCCAGTGTGAATTCGCTGGTGTATCAGTAGCCTGGATGGTGAAGTGAATCCCTTCCCACAATCAGAGCAGGTGAATGGCTTCGCCCCAATGTGATTCTGTTGGTGAGTTTCTAGCTGGGATGGGTAAAGAAATCCCTTCCCGCAATCTGCACATTTCCACAGTCTCTCCCCAGTGTCACCGCGCTGGTGTTTGGACATTTCAGATGAATCTTCACAGACTCTTCCACACACAGACCATGTGCGTTTCTCCCCAATGTGAATGCTGCTTTTTCCTTCAATGTTCAAAATCCTGAGATAATTGGGTTGTGATAAACAAAGAGACTGTCAGATCTGGATGTGGAACTGTTTGAATTTTCCAACTGCAAACCAACCTTTCAAACAGAAAGTAAATGCAGCGAGTGTGAAACCAGAAGAACACTCATAGGTTGTGAAACTGAGAGAAACCCTCTGGACATTTGCAGAGCCGACACTTGGGGAATATGCTGGATTATCATTAGAACAAACTCATACATAAATATCCTCCAGGTAAGGGATCCATTCAGTGTTTGCACAAAACATCCGAAAGAGAGAGGTGGGAGAGCCAGGGAGGAAGGAAAGGCATTGTATAGATCTGTAACTCAACCTTTCGATCCCTCTGAAAGATTAAGAATAGCGCAGAAGTAAAATTGTGGAAATCTGAAATGAAAACAAAAAATGCTTAGTCAGAGTTGTACAGCATGAAACAATCCCTTTGGTCCCAGTTGTCCATGCTGACAGATATCCTAAATTAATCTAATTCCATTTGCAAGCATTTGACCCATATTCCGCTAAACCCTTCCGATTCACGTATCCATCCAGATGCCTTTTAAATGTTGTAATTGTACCAGCTTCCACCAGATCCTCGAGCAGCTCATTCTACACAGGCACCACCCGCTTTCCCTTTTAAAACTTTCCCTCTCAGCTTAAACCAATGTGTTTAGTTCTAGTCTCCCCTACCCTGGGAAAACAACCTTAGCTATTCACCCTATGCCCACCATAATTTTGTTAACCTCTATAAGGTCACCTCTCAGCCTTCAGTGCTCCAGGGAAAATAGCCCCAGCGTATTCAGCCTCTCCCTACAGCTCGAAACTTTGAACTCTTGCAACATCCTTGTAAATCTTTTCTGCACCCTGCCAAGTTTAACAGCATCATTCCTATAGCAGGGAGACCAGAACTGAACACAGTATTCCAAAAGCGGCATAATCAATATCTTGTTCAGCCTATAACATGACCTCCCAACTCCTATACTCAATGCACTGACCAATAAATGCAAGCATAGCAAACATCATCTTCACTACCTTCTGTACCTGCAATCCACCTTCAAGGAACTGTGCACCTGCACCTCCAAGGAGTCTCTGTTGCATAACAGTCCCCAGGGCCTCATCATTAAGTGTTTAAGTCCTGCCCTGATTTTCATTACCAAAATGCAATATCTCACATTTATCTATACCAAACTTATTTCTGTCATCCTCGGCCCATCGACCCATCTGATTACGTTCCCATTGTACTTGGAGGTAATCTTCTTTGCTGTTTCCTACACCAACAATTTTAGTGTCATCTGCAAACTTACTAACCATTCCTCCAATATTCATTCCAAATGATTTATATCAATGACAAAAAGCAGTGGACCCAGCACCGATCCTTGCAGCACACTGCTGTTCATAGTCCTCCAGACTGAAAAAAAAACAACCCTCCACCATGACCCTGTCTCCTACCTTCAAGCCAATTTTGTTTCAAATAGCTAACTCTCCCTGGATTCCATTTGATCTAATCTTGCTAACCAGTCTATCATGTGGAGCTTTGGTGAATGCCTTGCTGAAGTCCGTATAGACAATGTCCACTGCTTTGCCTTCATCAATCTTCTTTGTCACTTCTTCAAAAAACTCAATCAAGTTAGTGAGACAAGATTTCCCACTCACAAAGCCATGTTGACCATCCCTAATCAGTCCTTACTTTTCTAAACACATGCAAATCCTGTCCTTCAGAATCCCCTCCAACAATTTACCCACCACTGACATCAGGCTCACCGCTCGATAGTTCCCTGGCTTTTCCTTACCACCTTTCTTAAAGAATGGCACCACGTTAGCCACGCAGTCTTCTGGCACCTCACCGGTGTCTATCAGTGATAC